ATAACATTTATTACTTTTTGATAATTTAAGTTTTTTTATATTTTTTATGAGAAGTGTTCTTTTGGATTTCGTAAGACTGCAACTCATAATAAGTTTTTGATTTTTTATAAAATTTTTAATAAATGATAAATTAGGTTTAAATAAAATATTATAAATTATAATATAATTAAATTAAACAAGGTTAGATTTCAATAGGTAATTTTATAATTATATTAAATATTAAGTATTATTCATGAAAGTTATAGTCAAATTTCAAATTGAGATTTTTAATTTTATATATAAAATTATTGTAAACCTATTATAACTTTCTACAGCTTTTAAAAAAGATAGTTTAAAAAAAATTACCAAATATACATATATATCTAAAAGCACTACATAATTAATAATAATAATAATAATAAACCCCCAAACACACCCTTAGTTTTATTTACACATTGTGCCACAAGTTTTAGTCTCACTTTCTCAAATAGAATAGGTTTACAGAAGTTTGATTCCTCTTAAGAAGCTTTTTTCTTTACGCGATCTAACGTGATTTAATTATAAATTAGTTAAAATTTAATGTGGCTATCAAATGTCAAGAGATTCATACTAAGAAAAATAGTATAGCTTCTTGGGAATTTGAATTTGGGGGTTTAGACTTTATTTAGGATCATTAAATAGTGTTATGGATGCAATGTCTATTATATTCTATTATTGTAAAAACTATGTTTGTATTTATTAGAAAAAAGAATTACGTTAATATTTAATAAAATTATCATACATATATAATTAGAAAAGTATAAAAAATATTAATTAAAATCAGTTATATCATAATACAAGATTGTGGAAAAGTGCTTGCAAAAATCCCAAATGCAAATAATTAACGAGGAAAAAGGTTAGAGATAAAAACGTTAGAAACTCTAAAGGGGGGGAGGCATATACGTGTATTGACTTAACGAAGTCCTTAATATATCAACTTCTTTGCAAACTGCATACAAAGAAACCAAAAGTTTCTATTGGGACCTCCATTTCCACTTCCCGCGCTCTATCTATAAATAAACCCCCAGAACTTCTGAAGGTTTTTACCCCTTCCCCGTACTGTCTCTGTCAAGACTCTGACTCTCATTTGACCAGAGAAACCATGACCATGATCGACGCCCTCCGTCGTTTCTTCCTCCCTTGCTTCACCCCCACCACCACCGCCGCTACCACCAGGCCTGCCACCTCCGCCGACGCCACCAACAAAGTCACTCCCACCAAGAAACGTCTCAGCGCCTCCCTGAGAGATGACCTGGACGACCAGGGGACCCATGCCAGAGAGGCAGAACCTCAGAACCAAGAAAATGATTCCCAAGAATCCACCTCCACTACCGACGAAATCATGTTCTCAATGGCACCCCCGCGCCCCTCCAAGTCTATGGTGATCGGCACCATCTTCGGCCACCGCAAAGGCCACGTCTGGTTCTGCATCCAACACGACCGCCTCTCCTCTAAACCCTCTCTCCTCCTCGAACTCTCCATCCACACACACCAGCTCGTCCAAGAAATGCGCTGCGACCTTGTCCGTATCGTCCTCGAGTGCGACCGTTCCGAACTCTGTTCTTGTCCACTACGATTGGTCCCTGTTTTTACCCTGTTCTGCAATGGCCGCAAAATTGGGTTCGCCTGGAGAAGAAAGACAGGCGATCAAATCGGTCCCCTCCTAAAGACAATGCAATCCATAAACGTGGGTGCCGGAGTAATCCCAGCCGGTTTCAGGTCGTCGGATTCAGAGGAGATCATGTACATGAGAGCTAATTATGAGCATGTTGTGGGTAGCGCTGATTCAGAATCGTTTCACCTCATAAACCCGGACGAATGCCCTGGTCAAGAACTCAGTGTGTTCTTGATAAGATCAAGTTGAAAAGAATCGAAGAACAGATCAATTTTCTCTTGTTCATTATACCCAGAAATCAAATTCTGTTTTTCTGGGTTTTGGGGAAGGGGGATATTTTCATCACTTGTAAATTTATTGAAATTTTAGGCATTTTTTTTTTTTTTTCATTCTTTCTAGGATTTTACATTTTCATTTTCTTTCCCTGGAAAGTGATGGAAAACAGGGAGCATGGTCCAAGGATATGTTTCAACGGATTTTTGTCTTTGTAGTTGGGATCACATTTATGTTGTCCCGGAGTTTAACAATGGCAATTGGGACCGCAATAGAATTCTTCCATTGTTGGCCGTTCGTTCTTTTTATTTTTAGTAACACATACACCCTTTTTACCATTTGCTGATTTTCTATAGTTTAGCTTTAGCCCCATCCACGTACTTGCATTCTGAGCTGAATATTTTGGCTTGTTTTCCTTTTAACTTCTTCCTTGTTTTGTTCAAAAGATTTACACCTACATATGCCACTTGTTGGTTGGTTTTTGTTGAAAAACTGTGCCTCTTAACAGGAATGAGAGAGTCATCTGCTGCCCTAATGAGAGGTCTTGGTTTGAATGCAACGCTGCCCACAAACAACTGAGATTCCGATTCTTTGTAGCCTTCTGTTTTTTGGAGTTCTATACATCCATGGTCCCCTCCCATTCAATATTGAAAGGTTCCATTATGAAGTTATAATTAATCCAATTGCATGTTTTGAAAACCTTTAATGACTTACCAAAAAAATATTGGGTATTGAAAGTGTAAATGACCTCATAATCTCAATCTAATCTATTTCTTAGGAACTAGATATTCTCGGTTTAAGTTGCATAGCATGTGAATTAGATGAATAAATAGAATGGAAGAAGATTACCTTTGGTCACAGAACCCACAAATTTCTTTAATGTTCACGGTGGGATGATTTGTAATTTGATGATTTTGTCCAATCTATGTATAATCTCCCTCCACATGAAGATATTATTGTTTCAAGTTTCTTCTGTCTTCCATGCCAACTGTTCAGGATTATGACATACCTAATGCCTACAAAATTAGAACCCTCACTTGAAGGCCAGAGAAGAAAATATCACCCTTCAACCTCCCTCTCAACCACAGATTTTTCTTCTTTGCTTAAGAACACTCTTTTCCTCTGCACTATAAATCAATTACATAGAAACTTCGTCACACATCAACTAGAGGTATAAGTTATAATCTTCTAATTTGATACCAAAAAGATGCTGGAAGGAAAAGCTGTAATTCGTGAGTCAGACATGCCTGAGGAGATGCAGAGTCGCGTTACAGAGTTAGCTTACCAGGCTCTGGATTTATATGAGGTCTCAGATTGTCAGTCCATTGCTCATTACATCAAACAGGTCTATTCTCATTTATTATCTCAGATTCTTCTGTAAGAATTAGAATAAATTAGTATTTGTTCATATCTTCATTTCTTTCATTAAACAAATGTATCTTCGATACCATAAGAAGATTAAAATCTTTCCTCAGTTGTCAATCAAATGATATTAAAGAGATTATAATGATGCTTAATGAATCACAAATTTGCTTAATCAGGACTAAAGCTACAAAGAAGAATCATTTCCTTCAATTATAGTAACACAACGACGAATGATTATGTAGGTGTCATGACGTATATTCCTTGTTAAGCTTGCATGTCTACTGTCCTTTGAATCCTTTAAGAGTTTAAGTTAATTCATGCAACCTGTGGATGGTGGAGCAGAAGTTTGATGAAGCTTATGGAGCAGCATGGCATTGTGTGGTTGGGAAAGACTTTGGATCTTGCATAACGCATTTATGTGGAAGTTTCATTTTCTTTCATGTGGAGATGATGGAGTTTCTCATCTTCAAGGATGGCAAGGAATTCACTGAAAGCAAGGAAGAGGCTATTGGAGTGTTGCAGAAGTCCAAGCAAATTGATTCATGAGATCTATACAAACTTCTTTCATATGGATTTCAACCTGAAATATATATTGCTTGTTGAACTTCTTCAACACCTAAGCCCAGGCCAAAAGTCTGGGAACTCACCATATTTACATATACAGTTGAATGCCTTTTACCATGTTTTATTTACAATATCTGCGATCAGAAGCATGAAAAATTTTTGTAAAACCTGTCAAGAATATTGCTAATGATGGTAGGGATTTGAAGTTGAAACCCCCTATTTAAAGGAGAGGAGTTCCTACCAATTTGATTATATCTGGTCCACAAAGAAAAGCACTTGCATTGCTTAAGCACGTATTCAACAGTGCAACTGCCAAGTTTGAAGGCCGCAGGATTTCTTCATGCTGAAAATTTCATAGTCAGAATGAATGACTATGATGATTTGAATTCAGAACCTCCTTTTTAAAGGTCAGGTCTTTCTACCACTGAATTATACCCATCAACATGAGTAAAGAACTGGCATTGCTTATGAACATAAATCTAGGGTTTGTAGTCTAAGGGCTGCAGGGTTAGTTGAGCCATGAATATGAAAGAAAAGCTTACCCAAAAAAAAAAAAAAAAGAATATGAAAGAAAAGGCTGCTTGTTTAGCTGGACCTAATAATTTCATATTTATGATCAGGACGTTCTTTTATTAGCAAGAGGTGGCGAAGTTTCATCTGTCATGGTAGCTTAGAATGATTGAATGCTTATGAACACTGATGCATGACCTGACGAATGAGAGAAAATAACTTACAAATGCAAATGACAAATGTCAAGATAGAGTAGATTGCCGAAGTAGATTTCTTGTAGTAAGTAGGTGCCTCATGCCCTCAAGTAGTTTTGTATTGGCAGAGAGGAAGAGGTAATCTACATCCCGAGGACTAGATGCAGCTAAGTTGCCAATCTAAACCTCAGGATGCAGATTACCCTGTCCTGACCAATATCAGAAAAGAAAAATGCCTCAAAGAAGATCAATCAAGGGAGAAAGAAACAAGGAAAGCTATGAATTGAGGCTCCGCCGCGGGTGTTGAGGCTATTATGCATGATTACATGAAATTTATAAATCTCTATAAAGCTAACATGTTATATTCCCCGAATAAACCTACTACATTTTAAAAGGAAGCAGCATGTAGCATAAAGCGGTGCTATGGTGGTCCAATCTGGAATATCGTGATTTGTTCTTCTCACAACCAATGACAACCTCACTTTTAGTAGACATTGATGTTTTGATCTTGACTGCTTTTTCAAGAGAACCCTACTAGGTCTTCTCTGGCTACTTCCAAGAGGTCTCCGCTCCCCTTCAAATTGTTATATAACAGGAGAAAGCAAATTCTTGTCAAGAAAATTTGGCAAAACTCTTAAATCCACCCTCAAAAAATATCGGTAGAGACACATCCCATCCTCAAAAAAATGAAGGGACAAATTGCCTCTCCAAATTATAAATCAATACAAATCACATCTTTTTTAAGAAAAAAACGTTAGAATTCTGTTTGTCACGTCAGCATTTTTTAATATAAAATATCAAAAAAAAAGGTGATTTGTATTGATTTATGATTTTGAGGGACAATTTGTCCCTTCATTTTTTTGAGAGATGAATATATCCCTATCGATATTTTTTAAGAGTGGAATTAAGAGTTCTTCTAACAAATTTTATCCCCATTAAAATCTAACAGGTATTTCAGTGTGCTTGAAGCTTGCACAGTGTTAAGAATCTTTAGCTTTACGATCACATCTTCTAAATGGGGTTTTGTTTTCTGTAAAAGTAATGAACTGCTTATATTCAGGATCGGGTTTCATGGTATCCATTTGCCTTTTTATGCTTAGCATATTCTATTCTCTTGGGGATTGGAAGGCACCTTACTGTCCCCACACCCAGCCCCAGAGAGGACTTGTTTGGCTAACTGGATAGACCTCCTTTCCTTGATTTTTCTATGAAGCCATTGTAGGAAGCTGCAACCAAACACAACCTACTGTTCTGTTCACCATGATATTTTCCCCCTGGAGAATATTACTTATGCCAGGATGGTATATCCAACCATCGTGCAACGAATCAAAATCAATCGCACAAGTGTGCGAGGTTTCTGTTGAATATCATCTCTAGTTGTGAGCCAGCGGAATCTTGAAAAGTATTCTTTCTCTTCCTTTGTCCCAGAAGATGCAACTGCTCACTCGAGAATAAATTCTACGGTTGCTTTGTAAGATGTTTGCCTTCGCGGCGACACTTGCCGATTTCTGAATGTCAGTGTGTCTGTTTAGCGCTTTGTTAGGGAATTACATTTGGTGGTCCTCCATTGGCCATCAGTTGTCCAGGACTTGTAAGAACTTGTTCCATGCAGCAGCTGTTATCCAAGACTCGAGAAGCGGTACTCACTTCCAATCTTCTGTAGTGCCATCACTATGAGTCTATGAATAGGTATCCAGTGACTCAAGAGCAGGACAAAAACGCAGGTTCTGAACTTTAAATGCTTTGATATAGCTTACGTAAAAGTTTTTACACAGTGAATCGTGAAGCTTTTTTCCTTTTTAGCAAGAGCGCTAGTACAATGCTTAATTCGGGGTTTCTATCATTCTATGCCCTTCAAAGTCTAGGACAAACGGTGCATGAAAGATTAAACCTTTTTTGGCACTGGAAAGACCACAAACATTATAATTTGCGCAAACAGTCAAAGTCCTCTTATAATTTCTTCATTTCTACAAGAAAATCAATGGACAGTAATCAGACAAAGTAGCTCAGATCAACAAGATCTTTTGCTATTTTATGTGGCCTTGTATTCAAAGGAATTGAAATTGAGGAGTAGCTGTCAGCTTAACCCGCACTGAGGTTGACAGTAAGTTAATGAACACTACTGTTTAAATCATAAGAGCGCCAATAAATGCTTAAGGCCCGAGTATCTGGGAACCATATGAACTTGTCACCCTCACTGTGCTAACTAACTGTATACACCAAAAAAATAAATAAATGGCAGCAACCACCAAAATTCTCCAAAATTTACCACCATGGCTCCTAAAAACTAAAAGTATCACCGAAGGAACATTTCTTGTTACCTAAATCCTATCTTTAACTGAATGCTTTGGTCTTCCATTTTCCCCTTCTTTTTTGTTGGGTTTCCTTTTTCCTCTTGAAAGCTGCATGTCAAACTGACTTGATGGAACAAAAGCAATAGCATAACTAAGCAAAGCTGAGATGTAGCTGTTAATTGGGAGGGATGCTTGTTAGAAGACTCTTCAACGTCTCATAAGTCATGAAGGCAATGCCTACACCTGGAACGACCTTGTAGTATTCAGGCAAAATTCCTCTATAAAAGCCTCGAAAACCTTCACTGTGCATTATATGCCTAAAAGTGCCAACTAATCCAGAGTTATAGATGCGGGCTCGACCAGCAGCCCCTTCCAACTGCATCCTTCTCCTCACAAGATCGATAGGAAATGTTGCTGCAAATAGCCATGCATAGATCAGAAATGGGTTCTGCATGCAGGTAATGTAAGCACAAAAGAATAAAAATGGAAGGTCCCAATGAAATTCATCAATCCATAGTATATTGAACTCCTTCCCTTGCCAGACAAACATACAATATGCATGATTTTGTCACAAAAGTTCATGAGAAACAACAAACCAAGTAATTCTTCCTTTCACCAACAAAAGCAACTACTCTTGATACTCAAAAATTGTCATGAGTTCTGAATCTTCTGATGTGACATAAAGCAGGTTTTTATGGTTTGCTCAGAGCATTAAAGCATAGTCGCATTGTTGACTAAATTTTGGTTTTAAAAAAAATTATATCCAAACTATGACACTAAACCTAAAACTCCATGTCAAAATAAACAGAAGGCTGCAAAGCAAGCACTCACCTGTTGATGATGCAATGCCTGAAAGACTGCCACAGGCAAGACTAACCAAAGCAGTGGAGTCATTGGGCCTGATTTAAAAATCATAATAAAGTTAAGACAATTTTAAAACCTAAGGTGCAAAACGAGAAAAAAGACAAAGATAAAAAGAGCACTGAGCATCTAGATGAATAAGGATCTTTACCTTTGAGAGTGCCAAAAGGATCTCAGTGCCTCATAAACAGAAAAGCTTATTGCTATACTTGGTCCAACACCCTGCATCAGGAAAGGCATTGCAATGGCAATTAAAATCAACAAAGAGAACAAAGGTGCTAAAAACGAATAGTGAAAGATACCAATAATGTTGCTCCAAGTCCTTTATAAAATCCTAAGAAACCCTCCTCCCTGCAGATTGTGTGAAAAGCATGCCAAATACCTCGGTAGTAGACTGTACTTGTCTGAATTGTTAAAAAAGAAACAAAAAATAATAGAGATCAGACAAAAGTTGAAACAGGAAACAAAAATGAAATAAGAAAGAGAAGAAGATAAAAGCAACAGCCAGAAAAATGTAACTGAGGTGTTATTGATGGTACCTGTGCTGCAAGACGTGTCCTTACAAGATCCAGGGGATAAGTGACAGAGGCAGAAGTTATTCCAGCCAACCCACCACCTACAAAGTGCACAAAGACATCAGGACTTCCTCTTCCCAATTGATTTTCCCGACCAAGAAATGGCTGCAACCACTGGAAAATAGATAAAAGTCAAAAAATTAATTCCTAAGAAACAGGAAAAACACATAAAAGGGTAAAGGTCATTCATTGAGCAACAGAACTTACACTCTTGTAACGTTCATAAGCATAGAAGTTCACTGAAGAATAGGGAAGACGATGAACTATTGTAACCAAGTTGCCCTTCCAAAATGCTCTGAACCCTTCTTCATTAATAACTCGTGAAGCCTCATGCCAAATGCTAGCCTTGCTCAATGCCGCTACCTCAGAATGCATGCCTTGCACCTGGAAAATAAATGAGTATAAAACAGTCAGCAAATCAACAAACTAAAAGAAATCAAACTATTGCATTACATGTACTGAAACCCAGCATCACAACCAAAGGCACTTCTTTAAGTAAAAGAAAACGATCATATGCATCTTTTTCTTCACTAAAAAGAAGCAAGCAGCTTGATTTTTTTTCCAGTATTAAATTATTAATCCCTAGCTAACGAGAAAATAAAACTAAATCCCATTGCTTTCCTTCTGAAAAATTGCAGACATTAAGTACACACATCATCCTACCAGAAACTTTCCAACACAGATAAGTGATAACCCATAAGGCCATAACCCCCATTTCCCCAAACTCCTGCGGTTCTTAAAATTATGAAATACCCAGGTCATATCATAAGGGAAATTTTAAAAAGAAAAAAGTTTAGCAGCTTTTTGTTCACCAAATCAAACAAAGAAAAATAAGTAAGGAAATGGTAAAAAGACCTGAAATAAGATAGTGAGGCGAGCTAGGGGCGCTGTGCAGGTCTTGCTAAAGGCCCCTGCAATACCACCAGCTAGGAGCTGGTTCACCGTCCCTAGCTGTGAATTCTGTGGATTGATAGGCGGCTTCGAATGAGCGTTCTGGTGCTGCAAAAATTTTCTGGCACCCGCATCCACCACGCTCCCGTGGGCACCAGAATTCAAAGCTCTCTGCCCTCCTTCAACCACCACCCCAATTCTAGCTTCCATATTCATATCCAATTTCTTGAGATTTCCGCTACGAAAACATGGGTTTTATCGAGAACGTGAAGAAATCCAGAGGAATGTGAAGCTAGTACAAAAAAGAGGTGTGAATGAAGAAACCCTAAAAACCCTAAAGCGGGGGTTGGGGTGGGGTTTGGAGACCGGACCGGACTGGTCCAAGAGAAATAGGGCCACCTTCGGTCTTTGGAATTATTTTTCTCTGGGTGGTTTGAACTTTGAAGTTTTCAAAAAGCACGGGTCAAGTCCCTCTTCTTTTAGCCCATCCCCAGTCTCCGCCCTCACTTTAAAAAAAATTGCGAATAAACGGCGGAGTACGGCAACGTTTATGGGGTATTTATATTTTCATATTTTGTAAACAATTATTGGTTAGTTAAACATATTAAATATTTTTAATTATAAATAATTATTATTTATTATAAAATATTAACTATTAATTATTAATTATATCAAAATAATTAATTTAAACATCATCTTATTATTTTTTTGGCTTTACTTGAAAAAGCTATGATATGATTGTGGTTATAGTTATAGTTTTAAATTTTATTA